CTCCTACAATATTCAATATATTCAGTGCGACAGACTGGATAATGGACATCGCTTGTCGCACTCCAGAGGTGTACAAATTACTCCCAGATCTTGAATACACACTGAATGATATAGTCCTCTTTGCTGACAGTTATGATGTGTTGAAACGCAAATAATGTTAAATAATGTGCCAACAACTGAACAGCGAGAATCGGACTCAGTATCGATGTAAAACGAAAATTTTTTCGTCTTATATACAAGAAGGTGAATAAAATACCTTATTTTATCACTTCATTACGTCGGTTAAGGAAATGCCAGATTTTAAATATCTCGGGTCCACTCTAGCCCCAAATGATCAAGCGGAAAAAGAAATTCAACCCTGATGATAGTAGCTAAAAAAGCTCTAAAAAAGCTTTCCTCCGGTTGATAAAACTTTATGGACACGTCGGACACGAAACCACTATTAAAATGAAAGCTCGTCATGTCATATGTACGCCCCGCCAGTTATCAGCTCACATTGTACACCAGCCTGAAAAAAGGCAGCTTGATGAGTATAAAAACTACGTTCTTGAATGAATGAATGATACATTCATTCAAGCAATACATCAACAAGATGGCACCATTGAGTGAGTGAGCTACTGGTATCTACATATATAGATAGAGAAAATACTATAGCAAAGCAAGAGCTTCCATGCTAAGATAGCTGACATCGACACCGAGAAATCCATTCCAGAATCAGCGGTTGGAAAAAATTGGAAAAAACTAGGCCAAAAGGCAATATTCTGATTGCACCAGCACAAGATATACAAGATGATTATTAAGTACTAAACACCAGATCCAATGAAACAGGAATCAACCACAATAGATAGGATTCAATGTGCATAGATAGATTGGGCAGAAACGCCTCAGAAACAGTCCAATACATAGTGGCAGGACATGCAACCAGAAATAACGTGCATTGAAACACATAACCAAGTAGCTTGCATCACCTCCATGAAAATTTGCTCAGACTTAAACCACTTCAAGATTAAATGGAAGATTCTCCAGAAAATCGTGGAAAATAATAAGGCGAAGATCCCGTGGGACTTCTCCATCCACAAACAGGTACTGGCCAATCAACCAGATATCGTGGCAATAGATAAGAATCAGAAATCAGCACAAGTGATATATATATATACCAAGCGATAGGAAGAAGGAATATGGGAAGTTAGAGAAAGAGGAAATATACGAAAGAAAATTTAGAAAAAATATGGAAAATAAAGTTCAAAGTGATTCTAGTGATAATTGGAGCTTTGAACTGTGATCTCTAAACTAGAAAATAGCTCCAGCAAATTCCAGGAACAATATCAGATATCTCTATCCAGAAAAGTTAAGATACTGCACAATCCTTAATCTACCAGGTGAGGATGACCCTCACCACCCACAGGGAGTGAGAAAGGGATCTTACTCATACAAAAGAAATGAGATAGAGTAATGTAAAATTATAAGCACGAAACGAAAGGTTTCTCAAGCTTTTTTGTCCTGTGCATTAAGCAAATCATTCAGGTTTACGAGCTCTTTCTATGGATTTTAAATGCACGAAATAAAAATATATAGAAATACAACTGGAAATACGAAATTCAAAAGTATCTGCGATTTTTAGTGGTGTTAAAATAAGAGATCTGTTGTCATCTACGTTCTCAATTTCAGTTAAAAATTAGAGATGAAAAATAAAGTAAGTTTCAGTTTTACAAGACTCATGAAATCTATCGACACAGGACAGCAGAGTCAAACATCGGTTTTTTTCTTGCGGAATAATTTGATTAGTCGATATATTCAATACTTTTGAGATATTTCCATGAAAATTTTACCTTGAACTCAAAATATTCAATAGAACCTTCAACAGATTAATATGAGTCCATTTGCCTTGCAAATATCTTTGCTTATTATTCAATTACAAAAATTTAGTCGTCAGAATTGGATTTGGAATTCTTCGCTTAAATCGAGAAATGGAATTTAAAAGCAAGGCTGTACAAATTTCCGTTGGGAGCATGGCGATTCCCCTTCCAATATTCTACCTTTATAAAGATTCCTTTTGGAAATCCGCTCCACTATCTTTTTTCTATCTAGATTTAGCTTTCCTGCCACACGGGACTTTTATTTCTTATTATATAAAACTCTGCGGCCAGCGTTATACTCCTTACTTTTCTCGTTGCGAACCTCAAACTTGTTATTAAACCTTAATAAAGATACGCAAATATACAAGAAAATAAAGCGAAGTAATGCCCTACTACAAAGAAATAATACAGTAAAAAAATCAAATATAAAATCTAAATGCCCATCATTCACCGACCGCTTCTCCACTCGTTTTCTCCTAATAAAAACACAAAATGACCAAAATTGATCCTTTGGGAGCTTATAATTTATTTAAGATGGGCGGAGATCCGGATGACTTGCTCAAATTTACAGCCAAATTTACTTTTTTCCCCTTTCGGCGACAAGGGTACTGTTGATTGCATCGCATATTGACTGGTTAGGATTCAGTTTAATTAACTGTAGACCATTTTCGGTCGGTTGAGACGAATTTTTTAATTTTCACTTCTTTTAGATAATTTTCGAATTTTAAGTGGTTAATCAGTGGTTAAACAGTCGATGCGTAACGAAGACACAATTATTTTGTATTGTACTGAATTGCAATTGCTTCGCTTTGGCTTTTCGAGCAATATTATCATTATATTATTTAAAAGATATTTATATAAGGAATGAACCAGCAGAAAGAAAAATCCCTTAATAAATAGAGAATATATTAAATATATTAGACGACTAAACGACTTATAGAAACATTTATTCCTATTTATTATAAAAAATCTAAGCCAAGGAATGTACCATACATACGCTGGAAAAAATAACAATAAATATGGCAATCATTCAACCAACACACCACATCACATTTAACTCTGCGCGGTTATTACTAAAATTAATATCATTCAGCTGCCTCTTAAAATTGTCGGTGGTGCACATACTACATTCATCCATAATTTATTCCAGTAACAAATGGTACAAATAAAAGTACAAAATTTATGACCATAGAAAATTTTATGAGCAACGCTATTTCACAATATATTTCAGAAAGATATTCTAATATCCGCGCAATGAAATATTAAAAACAATAAAGGTTGACAAATGTGTATCGAAAGTGAAGAATACCAATTTCCTCTAAAAATTTTTATAAAATTGAAGTGTAATAAATTAACAGATGTTAAGATTCAGACCCACCTGATGCAAGTGCAACCTGCAGGTTGCACTTCTTTCATTGATCCGCTAAAATTTCTGGCCGTATGAACAGAGAGCAAAGCCAGTCGAACCACAAATACAATAACATTCATTTATGCAGTTATGCATAATATATTGTATAAATAATTATTTAAAATTCTTTTTCCATCGCTTTATAATCCAATTATGAATTTATCGCTTTATAATCCAATTATGAATTCATTTTATAACAAAAATTTTTTAAATGAAACTTTATATCATTAAATGATCAGTTAGCCGAGCCAACTAATTTCCTTGATTTCATTGACATTAATTTTATAGCAATTTTATAGTAATATATAAATAATTAAGCAATTTTAAGCGCGACATTAGCAATCTCTTCTTCCGATAGGTGGTTTTTTTGCCATTCGAGTGGTACGTTGCTTCTGAGATCAAGAATCATGGACTCGATCCCCGACTGGAAAATTGTTGTTATGGACCACTTTTAAGATCAACACTATTTATTATGACTATTATTAGCCTATCACAAATTTTAGGAGTTTGTTTAATTGAAGATTTAAAAGACAAATTTTTTTAAGATCAAATTTTGTTCTTTTAATGATTTTTTTATTTAGTTCTATTTTCTACTGCCTTATTCTACAATAATTCTATTATTCCTTACGAAATACCATACTGATAATATTCCTATCGATAAAAGATACGCGATGTCGACCAAAAATCCCTACACTCAAACCATTTCCAGTAGCCATTGTAGGCAGAAACAGCACAGAAGAAAGTAGAAGAGGCGGGAAAGGGAATAAAGGAATGAAAATTGGGGAAATTATTGTATCTATATATTCTTAATTTACTGCGCATTAATTTCTTAATTTACTGTAAATATTACAAAAATTCATTGATGTGACAGTATTATGTAATTTGATTCCAACCAAATTTTACCCGTCCAAGGATTAATATGACGAGTAATAAAATTTTTTTTTTAATATTCAATTAGCAATCTCATAGAAGCAATACTTGCATGTAAAACTAACGATCAGCCAGATCAAAGAAGCAGTTTCATTTTTCCTTTTTTGTGGATGTTTCACAATTTAGTATCCTTTTAAAATATAATTCAAAATACCCATTGTCACTTGCTTTATTTATTTCGCAGTTGCTTCTGCATAGTTATGGCTATGTTATGGCTATGGCTTCTGCATAGTTATGGCATAGTTATGGCTATGGCTTCTGCATAATTATGGCTATTCTATAATGCCATGAATGTTTTAAAATAAAAAAGAGCTGCACAAAATGACTGCATTTAATCCGACTTAATAAGATATTTTTGCCAGAATACTTGAAATAAAAACTGGTACACCGACGCCCTTCGATGGCATTCACGAAGTGAACAGCTCCAGCAAGTATCTTACACATGCAGGCGATAAGGCCCTTTTTGCAGACAGTTGTGGATTATAGTAAATCATGTATCGGTGGCTATAGTAAAAACGAGGTTTCAGATTAATGTAATAAGACAGTAATACTCATTTCGAAGAACAGTAAAAAAGAAATTAATAGAGGGCAGCAAGAACGGAAGGCACCCAACGATATGATAGCACAGGCAATGAAAAAAGGATCTTTACTTAATTTTAGTCATGGCCTTGAACCAGCCTCCCAAATACTTCACTTTAGGAGCCAGCCAGGCCAGTCAAATCAAAAATATTTACTATTAAACATTAAAAAAAATTTACGAGATAATATCATGTTAGAACAAATTGAACTAGACAAAATGGTCAATATTAATAAACTGGAAACGAAGGATCAACCAAAGTTGCCCAAGATTCGTATCCTCCGATAATATCTTTAAAACGCAATGGATCGATATCAGCGAATTTCTCGCGTAGATTTAATACAGCCAACTGGGAATGATTTCCTCGCCGACAGATTACATAAACTAAAACTAAAACTAAATTTATTGCGATTATTGTCAAATGAAAATTATTAATGCCTGTATACCATAGAAAAAATAAAAAAGACCGAAAATTCTCCAAAACAAAATACCACAGCAAAAAAATAAAAACCTAACCTCCTACTGATTTCAAGCGATTTTCATCGAAGTCCAAGAATGAAAGAAGATTAGATCTGGTCATCTTTATAAGATTTGAAAATTCGATATCTGAGAAAAAATTTAACTTGCCAAAAAGTTCAGTAAATTGAATCAAAAAGTGGAAATTTCGAAAGAAACCAAATTAAAAACCAGCCACCAAAATTTTTACTATATTGCGTGCAAATATTGAATATAGTTATTTATTTATTTCATTAGCCACAAATTCATTCATATTTGCTTAATTCCTTACTTTTTGCAATAGAAATATGACCGATGTCAAACTGATTTGACGACCTTATATCTATAAGACAAGGAGAATCTGATATGCACATACTATAAAATTCACCAGCCGTTAATCGATCATCGGTTGCCAACAGATCCAGCGAGATGGGCTAAAAAACAAATTAATAACTTCGTGATTTTTAGCTTAATTAGCGCAAAATTGGTAGATTTATAAAAAAAATCTACAATCTGACTGTAACATGAAGAAAAGAAACTTTTTTTAAGAACACTAAAACACTAAAAATTACACTAAAAAAACACTACACTAAAAATTTATGAATAAAATCAAACGTTGTCATTTATCGGAGAATCACAAAACATTTCATAATCTCCAAGGAAATTTTTATCGTTATTAGCAGAACAGACCGCACAGTTTGCCTGCCGATTTCTTAAACGCACATTTTTAGTTATTCCCGTTAATCCATTAAATAAATAAATGCGTCCAGCAAAACTCGCTAAAAATAATTCAACCACTAGTATCAAAATAGCAAAGATTTACATTTCCAAGCACAAACACTGCTTTTATATTCAATTCAATATCTCAAAAACAGAAAAAAAATAGACATTTAAATTTAATTAATCTATCGCAAATTATGACTGAATTAATGTAATATCTCACTCACAAATATTAAGAGCACAAATTTTTATGATTTCGACAGCCTGCAAATTGCCAACAATACCCACAATTGGGCCTATTACACCACTATCAGCACAACGAGATACTGCAATAGCAGGCGGCGGCCTCGGAAATATACAACGGAAACATGGACAATCCTGTAAATCACATCTGTGAACAAAGGTTTCAATAAAGAAAAAACGTAAAATTTCATTTAACTAATTTAAAACAGATTTTACTTATTTCTTTCCCAAAACATTTCCAGCTTATATTGTATGTTATGAGCCTCTATGATAATATTTGCAAATTTAAATCCAAAAGAGAATTTCGGGAATTAAATTTTTCCAAGATACCTGGCCAAAGTTATAGACGCTTAACTGTCCCTCCCAACGAAGAGCACTACCTGATACCAAAGGTTTCTTAAGCAATACGCAAATATCATTAATCAGATATCTGAATGATATAGTTTAAACGCTTCGTAGAAAAATTTCAGTTAAATTGGCATAAATGAAAATGAAAATACAATAAAAATAAACTGTCAAAACAAACTATTAATTAAATTAAATTAACTATTAAAATCAAATTATGCAAATACAGTTATGAGCTTTATGCTAAATAAAGCAAAAATCTAAAAATAGGAAATTCTAAAAAATGACACCTGGTTGGAACATTATCTGTGCAATCAGCTATTACATCGTAATTATTTAAAATTTTTACAGCATTTTTAACCGTTAAATGAGTATCAAAGATCTCGACTTTGACCTTGCTATTTAATCTGAAATCGAATAAAGTATAGGAAAAACCTTTCATTTTGCCAGATTTATTGAAAAATCAAATAATTAAAAATGAACTGATTAATTGATGCCAGCAATGAAGATACTTTGGAATTGCCTAAGTCATTTTCCGAGTGGGCGATCTGACGATGCAAGTTGTCAATCGAAATATGATCGCCATCAACTATACCGATTCGTCCGATCCCTTAAAATATTTTATATAATTAAATTATAAAAAAAAAAATTCCTAACAACCAATAATAAATAACCAGATTTTCATATCATTCAAATTAACAAATGTAAATATAAGATATGAAATCTGAAAAAATTTGATAAATTTTGATGATAAATTACTAGAAACCTAATAACCTGCAGCTGCAGAATATAATGCAACTGGACATCCTAATCCACCGGCACCAACAATGAGAAGAGAAGAATAAAGCAATTTTTCTTGACCTGAAGAAGTAATATCTAATATAAAATTAACTGTACAGTATTTCGAAAATTAATTCCCGAAAAAACTTGGATGAGATTTGTTACGATTGATAATTTATTGAAGAAAAAAACCTGCAACTCCAATCTCTTCGACTATTAGCTGCCGACTATATCGACGAACTTCTTCAGTTGTTAAATTATGATTGCAAGAAAACATTTCATAAATGATCCACGCTGAAATACTTGTATAAAACAGGAATGTGGCTAGTAATTAAATAAGAATATACAAAGCAGTGTTATTTTATATGTATTTGTACCTTATCTGATGGACGGTGCAACAATGCCTAATGAAGAAGGAATAAATGCGGCGACTGGAGACGGGAGACGAAAGAAAAATTAGAAGGCAATAGGAAATGCACGGCAAACAAAGCAAAATTGCTACCAATTCTTGCTAAGCACAACTGCAAAGAATGCAAATTAATTGACAATAAATAATCAAATCTTTGAATGGATTTATCACTAAAATTCCTTTTTAATCACTCTATTGACTCTACAAAACTGTAATAAAAAGAAAAAATAAAAAATAAAACTTGCAAGAAAACCAAATTAAAAGTTGGAAATTTGAATTTCTTTTTTATATAAATAAATGAAATTTAGAAAATATCGGCAAATTAGCCAATGATTAAATGAAAAAATGAATATAAAATTTGACATAATTTCATCTATCACAATATTAAAAAGCAAAACCTTTGGTAACCCTGCACCTGATAGGACGCAGAACGCACCACACCGCCTTCTATATCTTTACTATTTAAGTTTCGGTGCCATTCGACTGGACATAAAATTCGTCCTCAATCGACATTTAAAGAGAGGCGAACTACATACAATTACAACGCTGCAGGCAAATCCATTCACTCAGTCGTCTGTGGAGAGTTTTTTAAAATGTGAAATGTAGGTTTCTCACGCTATATTCCCCTACAATCCTAATCACAAAATGAAGTCCTGTCCTAAAAGATAAGTTTAAGTCCAAGCGGTTAATCCAAGCTTGGGTCTTGGACCTAAACTTTAAACCTTAAGTCTGAGCCCAAAATTTAGGTCACAAGCGTGAACCTAAAATTTAGAGTTGGCTAAAACCGAAACTTAAGTGTAAGTGCTGGGTGCTAAGCCTGACTTCAACTTAAGCTTAAGTCTTATTACTAAATTTTGCTACCTTCAACAATATAACGCAAAAAATTCAAAATGAATATTTATGCAAACATGGGATTTCAAATTTTCCATTTTGATTTGTCTTGATATTTTGTATCGTCGCATTTCAAAATATTGCACTTATTTTGTTGCAAATTTCAGTAAAATAACTAAAATGACTGCTTTAATTCAAAAGCATAATTTATCATATAACTATATCACATCATTTATATTTGTAAATTAAAATCTATCATATTTAAAATTTTTTTCTCCAAACGAAATTTGCAAATATATTTTTGCTATTAAATGGTCGATTCAATAGCTTCATATCTATCGTTTCTTATCAGTTAGGTTATAGTAGTTATCAGCCAGCTATTCACGATAGAAATTGTAATTATTCGTTTTCTATCATTTCCAGCTTTTTCTAAATAGTTTTCTCATTATCAAAACTCAATTATCACCATAGAGTAGATTTTTTGATGTTTTTCTTTAAATATTTAACTAAAACTATTCATTTGTAGCATCAGTTCATACTATCACCTTTTTCTCCTCCTTTCTTAATGTTTTAATTTCAAATTATGTTTATAAATTATTAACTTTTATTATTGACTTTTTTATTATTAACTTCGGGTGATACTGGGGTGCTTTCTGAAAATCCTTCGCTGTACCAATAGCCAGTGGAAGCCAAATCAGAGATGGTGAGCGCCAGTAATTAATTAATCGAATTTTTTGCTTCCGTAGACTCAAAGAATATTTATTAATTTTTCTAGTCAATTAAAAGCCAAATTTATTAAGAAAATTGGAGGAAATAATCATTCCATTCGATTTTCGTGGACAAATGAACAGTTTTAATTTTGAAGCAAGCAATTTATTCCAACGATCCTTATTTGGCTCGATTTTTGGTTTCGATACGCCTTCTTTAAATTCTCATTCAGGTTAATCCTAAAAATATTTAATCCAATTTTGAATAAACTATTTTGAAAATTTTTCATTATATTTTAAAATATCAATTTTTTAAAATTTATTTTTTTAAAAGCTTACATAAAAAATTTGGAATTTTGGAATTTTAATATTAAAATTTTAATTGGCAATCTAATTGAGAAAATAATTAAAGATTAAGGCACTTTGTAACAAATACAAGTTTTGCCTGATTTTTTTAAATCCGCAAAATAATAATAATAACGAAGTACAGAATTCACAAATTCACAAACTTTTTCTTACTTTTCCTTCGGAATACTTTGTTCATTCCATTGATTTCAATCAAATAAATTAAATCGCTAGATGGGCATACGATGAATGGAGGAGCGTCAGTATCCGCGATGTCCTCCGCACCGTCAACGTCAACATTACCATTGGATGTAATTGATGCAAATCTTTTTCAAGGGAAGAAATATCTGAAAAATGAATATGTCGAGCGCAAATATAATTCTCAGCAAGAAATTTATCGAGAGATCGTTTCTGAATGTGCTCGTCTTGAAGAGGTTTTTGTATAGTTTGGCGATATCTTTGAACAAAAACATTCTTTAAAACTATCAATTAACACTTTTTCCCTCTTTTCATTCGAGACTAACATATTTAATGGCCAATTTACAATTGTAATTGCATTGATAACTGTTAAATCGAACTTTAACTACAAAATAATTTTGAGCGTAAGAAGTGAAGAGAATCTGTAATCTAAAATCTGTTGAATTGCGTTTATTTGGTTACTTGAAGAATTAACTTTCACTTAGCGACTGCAAAAAAGGCAGCGCCAGCAGATCGCCATTTCTTTGACTTCGTTCTAACCATTTATTATCAGATTTTGGAATTCATACGATCGTTTAGTGCAAAGAAGATTTCGCATGATTTTTCAGCTGAGTTTTTCAATTATTTCTACCGCTTAATTTGGCAAAAAAATTTAAACTATACAATGAGTAATGATTTAATGATTTTTAATACAAACAAATAATGATCTTCATAGAGTCATATGTGAATCTCGGAATCTTTTACAAAAGGTGCGCGTAACTTGCTTGGCATGAAAATAATAAGTAAGAAAAGAAATAACCCGGTAAGATTGAGATGCAAAACGAGTAAAACTGAATTATTGCAAATTAATAGTGAAGAAATAGCATGAAGAAGGAAAATATCGATTGAGGAAGATTGTTTGACTTTAAATCCCTCGCATCCACTCTAATCCCAAATGGCCAGACCAAAGACGAAATTGCAACCCTGACAAACGGTAGCGTTCTTCCGAATGATAAAGCCTTTATGAAGCCATCGCAAAATTACCATAAAAACGAAAGTCTGCGTCTGTAAAGCAGCGATTCGCTCCATTTTGCATTATATGATTACCAGACAATGCTGATAAGAGTGGAGGATATTACGCAGTTATTACCTTTGATTACTTATGTTTATGATATACTTTATTTGACCACTTAGCGGATAAAATCATGATTGCATCTATCCTTGCTCATTTATACCATTAACAGTACCATCGCCTTCGCTGGCTGGAGCATGATCGTCATCGTCCACCACAACAGTTGATACATATTTCGTTACTTGCTAAACAGTGAGTGTGATGAGTGGCGTCAAAAGCGAGGAGGGCCAATCAAGACCTGGGCTGATACGGTCAGGAAAGATTTTGAACCTTTTAAACGTATAGGGGAATACATGGATGCACTTAGACGGTGTAAAAAGGATGGCTTCTATTGCTATCAGCGATGGCAACAGATCGCGCAGTTTGAAAACAGAACCAGCCTAACGAGAAATTGTTAGAGCCTAAGAAGAACCTTTTAGCGACTGAGGTTAAACATCATAGATTCAATTTCTTTTCCTTGACAAGAGTAAAACCACCGAAAGTGTAATTCAAGTGTAACTAGAATCTCACTGGTATCTTCAAAAGACCTCACAAAAAGGACTCGGAAAGTAATAATCAAACCAAAAATGATGAATGCCCTTAGAAGAAGAATTCAAGAAGAATTGCATTATGAAATTATTCAAATTAGTCGAAATTAGAAAAAAAGAAAAAGTAAAAAAGTTAAAAAAATAAAAAAAGATTTAGCAAAAAATCACAAAATATAATCGGCATTAAAATTTTAAGCGAAACAAATAATAATATCAAATAATTTTATTTTTATTTTATTTAATTTTGTTCTAATAATACAGTTTTAATTTAATTTTATTTTGAGGTGAGAATATTATAGGAGATTTCATATGATAATTTCTTACAAAATTTTTATTGCGGATGAAAAAACCGGTTAAGTTGGCATTGGAGACTTGCGCTATGCGAATATTAATTATTTACTACAGTCGTAATATCTATTATATAACAATAATTCGAGATAATAAAAAACATGCATGCTTAATTCTTCTAATTTTTAATGAATCGATAGATTTACAGGGTTTAAGAAGCGTTTTTACAACTAATTTAATTATTCTAGAATTTAAAAGAAAAACTGAATATGAACGATCATTAAAATGTAAAGGCTCCAGCAGATTCCTGCATTTCTCCAGCAGATTCCTGCATTTAAAAGTTCTAAGTATACAATTTAAAATTTTAGAGGATTTTTTAATCTTTTTCTTCTATCAGCTTTCACCATTACTTATAAGCTTCGTTGGATGGCTAAGATGTCTCCAAACTGTTCGATCAACAATCAGTCAACAGCAATAGAAGTCATTTCTTTTTCCATCATTTGAGTCCATATATTACTACTGCTCCACCTATATATTCAAAATCTTTTCTGATTCTATCAGTCCGGATCTTGATTAGTCCACCTCGCTCTTGATGCCATCCTTCATAAGATTTAGCTCGAAATATATGCCAACTCCTGTGGTAGGCAACGAAGAACGTGCCCTAACCAGCAAGAACGGCATTCTGTGGTAGTACTGTTAAAGTAAGTGATATGTGAGCGAAGATGAATGCAATCATGTAAGATTATCTGCCCTGCGAACCGTAAAATGTTTCGTAGAGGTATGAGTGGTCAAAAGCTGGTATCTTATTAATATCTTCCACTCTCATCGGCCACCTCTCGTGTCCATAAAAGTTTCATCAACCGGAGGAAAGCTTTTCCAGCTACCACCATTAGGATTGTAATTTTGTTTTTCGCTTGATCATTTAGGATTAGAATGGATCCGAGACATTTAAAATCTGGTATTTCCTCAACAGGTGATGAATAATTGTTAAAAACAATTTTTTATCAACTTTTTTTATCAACTTGTATATAAAACGAAAAGGCTTTCATTTTATTCACATTGATCCTAAGTCACTCTCGCTGTTCAGTTGTCGACATATTATTTAGCATTATTTGCGTTTTATCATATCATAACTATCAGCAAAAAGGATTTCATCATCAGCGTTTTCAAGATCTGTGACATCTCTTGACTACCGATAAACAATTTCCTATCCAACCTATCGCATCGTTAAATATTGCAGGGAAAAGGACGCAACCTTGACGGACCGTGGTTCTTATTTTGAAGTTGTCTATTAGCTCCTCATATCTGTGCCGATATATGCTGATGAAATGCTTTTATGAGCTGAATGATGTTCTCTGGGACGCCAACATATTCTGTCATCCTCCAAAGCTGTTTTTTCAACTAAACGTAGGTAGCTGCAAAATCGATGAAAGAAAGGACAGCTAATATTTGAAACAATGTTCCAATAGCTTTCTTAACGTGAACACCTGGTCAGCACAACCGTCCTGGTTTCAGCTTGAATCCAGCTAGTTAGGGCACACACTGTTGTCTCGTAATGCCATAATGATAGTAGGTTGATTCCAAATCATTAAGCCAAGATTTAAATTATTACAAGATTAGTATTATATATAAATAAGGGGAATAATCATAGAATTTTCAAGTAAGATAAAAAATTTTGTTTTTTTCAACAGAATTTAATTTACAGACATATAAACTTTTTTTTTTAAAAACCCTCACCATTAGTGGTTCGACTCGTTCTGGTGATTTACTGCATTAGACATCCCTTAGCAATAGAAGTATAGATGGGTCGCCAGCATCACCCGCATTTTTAGACAGGTTTACTCCTGCAGGGAAAAGAACCTCAACATCAGCGCTATGAATTGAGCAACATTCTACTGAGCCATTCCATGCACTAATTCACATATATTTTGTTATTTTGTAACCACTTAAATTATCCAAATTAGTCCGTGAAGCAGCTAAAGTTCCTCAGGTTCCTTATATGAGCAAATCCTAGGATTATTAGCATAAAAATACATTCTAGAATTAGAAATGACAATACAGAAATAGTAACTAATAAATAAAAACTTATATTTTTAATTTTAACCGGTCAAAATATTATTGAATAATATAAAATAGCATTTAAAAATATTTTTATATTTTTACAAAATTTAATGCTGCATTAACAATTAATATTCAATATTCAATATTCGATATTCTTTTCCTTGAACATAATTGGTTTAATTAATTAAATCCACGAAATGTTTCCTCGAAATCTTCGTCAAAAGACTATTTTTACATATTTTCTCATATATTTTATAAAATTCTCGATTTTATTAATATATGTTATTTTCATTACCTTTTCAAGTTATTTGTCAGCAGTTTTCTTTTCTTGATTTTAACTTTTTACGACAAAATTCCGGTATAAAATTATATACAAAGAATTATTTAAAGCTAAAATTTCATACAAAAATTTTCTTAATTCAAATGTTTCAGGAATTTCCTAAAAATAATTCGACGATAGCAAACAGTGACTATTGCGATGATAATGAAGGAGAAGAGGAGAAGCAATATCCGATAAAAAAATTTAGCACTTCGTATAATCTGGGGATCGCTTTCGAAGATTTGATAAAAGTAGTCATTAATGTGATGAAAGAAACTGGAATAATTAATAAAAAAGTTTCGGACAAAGAAAATCCAGAAGAAATCCTCAGAAAAAAACGAAAAATGGTAAATTTTTTATACTAATCCGTAAACAACGAAAAGAAATCACTCATTTTTCGAAACTTTCATATTTTGAAAGAACTAAGAGACTTTCAAATTCATATGAGAGGAAATTTACAAAAAGAAATGAGATTATTATTAGTTAGTTATTATTAAATTATTATTAATATTATTACTATTATCGCAAATAACACAAGCAGATGCATGCTGTTTTCTACTGCCATGAACCTGAAAACACGCCGTGCTTCTTTTGAATAAAATTTCTAAGTAACAAAATTTTTATAGAACAATGAAGCAGCAGCGCGATATAGACGACGACAAAAAGAATTTCGTGAGGATGTCGAATTGGAATTTGAGAATTTATTAAACAAAAATGAATCCCTAAAAAAGGAAATTAAACGTTTAAAGCACGAAGTAGATGAATTAAAAGAATTTTTGCTGCACGAGAAAAATCCCTTTTTTTAAATATTCCCTTTAAACATATTTTCATTTTAAATATATTTATGTTTTTTATTTTCTTTTTTATTGATTCTCACAGGTGTTCTTTCTTTCTTCCCCTATAGTTTTTTTCACACCCTGCCAGTCTCTTATTTTATCACAAATTTCATTATTTTATAACTTTTTAAACTCATTTGCATTAATCAAGTCGAAGGCAGAATGTGTGTTGAGATCACTGGCAATAGAGATGAGTGGCTTCGTAAAGTTAGCCTAATTGGCCGAATTACACGTTTCTTAGATTGCCATCTCAACAATAAAAAGTGCATGATTCATCTGCAATTCATTCAAATTTATATTTTTCCGAAGAATTTCCAATTCACTTTTCTGTTCCAAAAAAATTTGATTAGCGGTTTTAAAATTTATTTCATTGTCTTCTAATAGCCTGAGAAGCAGTTCAAAATATTCATTATCAGTAAATGAAAACAAAACACATATTTAAAAAAAATATCCTTCAAAAATTCAAATAAAGCGAAAGAAAACAAAGCGAGAAAAAAAAGAAGTGAAAAATTTCAAAGTGATGAAAATACAATTTTCACATATTCAAGTTTATATCGAAAAATACAGGGAGAAATATGGAACTATTCTTTTAATATATATGCTATTTACTTTAAATATTTAATTGATTTCATTATAAAATCCATTTTATTGTGGAAAAAGCACCGTAGTAAAGAAGACTATATTCATATTATAACACTATATTATAACCAGAAAATAGCAAACAAATTTTCAAGCATTATAAATTCCAATTAAGCACTAAAGAAAGCATCGAGTAAATTTTTAGTCGCAGCAATAGCAGACTCTCCGCTAAACGCTCAGCAATTTGTACTTCTCATATTTCGCAATATGAATGAAAATAAAGCACTCATGATTTTATAATTATAATGATTTAAAATTTAGATAAAATTTATGAAATAAATTCAAATTAGATTTAATAAATAAAGAGAATAATAACATAATAAAAGGATTATTTGATCAATTAATTATCAGATAAGTGGAGACAATGTTAAACAACATTAATAAACCTAATCTATTCTGGTAAAAAAAAAGAAAATATAATAAATGATAGAATGGAAAACATGAAGACAAAAGGATAGTGATAATGACAAATGTGCTAACAGACTATCAACTGAGATAAAAAAAATTTAGCCTACTTCTTCATATTAATCGCGCGAAAGATGCCACAATCCAACTGTCGAATCACTAAAAATTATCGACGCAATCACAGCAATACTACGAAACGGTTGCAGAATACAGAAAAATTAAATTACGATAAAATTACAAAAATTAAATTATAAATTAAATAACAGTGCTAAAAGTTATAATACTTAAATTATGATACTTAAATTTACAGAATTCAAATATATTTCTTAATTTTCAGAAACTGTTGACTTTTGGCTATGTGAGAAGAAGAGCCTTTTTTCTTGATTATTTTAATTCCTTAGCCAAATCACGGTCAGCTAATAAAAATATTTTCAGCGGTGATTGTAACAAGTTAGAAAAATAATGCCATAAAATATACCTGGAACCGGTAAAAATAAGACTCGAATTAGCAATTACTGTATTAATCGATTCGTTATGTGCATGGCTTAACTAAAAAAGAACTGAAGTAAAGAAAAGAGGGAAAAAAATTACAACACAATTATTATATTCTAATTGTTAAAACCATTATTGTAAAAATAGCTTATCAGGTGGGGCGGAATTTAATTAAACCGTTTTCAATGGCATATTGGTTGAAAAATGATAGAGTGAGTCATAACAGGCATTACTCCCAGCGCCACTTGGATTTTACTTTTAAGAATAGACTTCCACATGCCAGAGAGCACCAACTAAGAATTCATTCTGCTTCACCTAACGACAATCACCACTCCCTAATTAGCGATTAAAATGTATAACAATTAACTGAGTTTGCTAGAATCTTCTCGACTCGACTTTCCACATTTCTTAAAATACAATTTTGATAATACCAAACACTGCTTTGACATTTAAAAATGATTTACGTAATATACTGTGAAGATGTTGCAAAAAAAATCTTCGTGATATATACATCAAATTTAAAAATAAAAGCATTTGCAATAAATTTTTAATGTCTTAAATGTTTTAAACTGACCCTCACTATATAACAAAAGTTAAAAAATAAAATCCGAAAGCGCATGAAACAAATTTAAAAATTTACTTCTTCAATAAGTCTTAATTTTCGATTACTAACAATATCCCAGAGTTTTATCGACCCTTCTCTACATACGGTCGCGAGTAAAGTTCGTTGTGCAGGAACGAGGCACATATCCATTATCCATTTATTATGCGATCTTAATTCCACGTGATCCCTCTTCATATCACGCAGTGAAAAGCGCATTATATTCTTAAACAGATGCATCAGTGAACAGAGAAGTTTAGTATAAATTTAGCATTTATTTAAACACAATTCTATAAAGAGAAAAAATTTATTGGAAAAAATTCGATAGAAGAATTTCAAAATTTTAAATTAACCAAATCTTTGGATGCCGTAAATAATGAGTCGTTAAAAACACGAATGGATGTAACCGAATCATAATGACGAGGAGTAAACTCGAAAGAAGCATCATAGATGCCTTCACCTTCTGCCGAAACATCGTAAAGTTTTACATAATGATCTCGTGAGCCTGTGAACACTTTTGGCCTTACATCATCCAGTACCTCCAGGCATGTCACTTCCGATCTTAAAAAAGTGCCCCGTTAATATGAATTGCTTTTTTCTATTCTCATTAATGTATAATCTGTGAGTGGAATTATCAGTATTTTATGCAAAATTTCAATTTCTACCAAACATATGCGAATTGCGAAAAAATTAAAATTTTTCGCAAGTTTTATATTCAAATTACAAAAATAATTGAGAAGTAGCAACGACCTTGGTCCATGAGTAGCGCAATTTAGTCGACCAAATGCCGCAAATTTTTCCATATTCCATATTCGTACATCACCACAATATGATGTGAAAAGCAATCTTAAATGCAAAATTTATAATATAAAAATCCATCAGATCCAACATATATACTTACATTATACAAATTCTCTAAGAAAATTTAATATTTTCACAAAATTTTGCAAGAAATTTTAGAAATTTTGCTGCAAAGAACCACATTGAATCTCAGATAAGCCTCTTATTTGCGGCCATACTACTTTCAAATCTATTTATTTTTGAAACAACCAAGCACCAAATTAATTAAAACAAATATGATTAAAAGATAAGATTAATGAAAAGATGAAAAAAAATTAGTGAACGATAAATGACACAAAAGGACAAAAAGACAACAAGGTAATGAAAAATAGTATTATGATAATAATAAATAATAAGATGATAATATTAATAAAAATAATAATAATATAATAAAGGGCAAATGGAGAGTAATTCAAGTCGAAGTGGACGTATTGCTGACACATATTCGAATGATAAATGACTAAGATTTCAAATTACCTGCAGCATAATGCGAAACTCTTAAATAATATCATGTCATGGATGAAATATTAATCTTTTTTTTAAACATAGTTAAGGATGATGCACAAACAATTTGGCAGCTTATTTCAGTAATTAATAGTGCGAATAAAAAAGTCATCCCTTAGATCAATTTTAGTCAATTTTAGTCCACTAAATCTTTTTGAAATTTATTGTACTATTTTGAATAATCTAGTTTGATATAAAATTTTATATGTATGAATTGAATCTTGCTTAGTTCGACGAAATGAGAGTGAATCTAGGTTGTATAGTTAAAGTTATGCCTCATAAATTAGATTGCTATTAGGTGACGTGCAGGATATTTTTGGAGTCCTTCAATTAATTCATATCTAGGGGAACAAGAAGAGGTTGCATTATTTTCAAGTAGACCAAACGAATGTTTCATATGTTTTAATAAAAAAGCTTTATGCCTTACGATTTATGCCTTTAAACGACCGAAAAATAAAACTATAATTAAAATAAATAAAATAAGATAAAATTTATTCTTGAGGACTTCTTTACTATGATTTTGCAATGAAGGTCGAAATCAAAATTTTCATCCACAACTATGCTAAGAATTTGCCATTTTACATATAATCATAAAGGACAGCACTCTCTCATATATTTCGTATTCAAAATCGTTAATTATCGTTAAATTAAAACCTTCCAGTTGGATCGATTTCTGCTGCACTGATAAATGTCTCAGAAACAGGAACCATATTCTGACGAGAACTGTTTTCTGGCAATACCTCTCCTGAATTTTTTCAAGAAAATTGATTTTCGAGTTTTACTCGAGAATGTAATATTATTAATAAAAATTTTTTTCTTGGAAAATCTTAAATAATTCGGCTGAAAAAAGTCCCTATATTTCTTAAGGCTTTTTAAAATAATTTATTGAACCCGTTGCCAAAAGACCATATCCATTTTTCGAAATATTCCAGGGAAAAACTGAAAGAAAAAATAATTCGATAAAACGACAACTAAGTGAATAATGAACAAAATGGCTTCAAAAAAATAATTACTAACTCCCTCTGATTATCCCCTCTGATTCATAATAACTGAACGGACTATAAAAAAAAAAAGCAAATAATCTGCATAATTTGGAAAAATAAATATAAAAAGGCCAACCCTCTGTTGTAAGCCCTGAAGAATGCAACGTTCGTATACTCTGACTGACACGTAAATCCCATATACGTACCGTTGACGTAGATACACTTAAAGCTAAATGCGTATTGGGTATAAAACGAACACATGTAACATTGTTTGCATGCAAACCTAGATTGCTTCGTTCGATGCCACATTCCAAATCCCAAATTTTTGCTTGCCTATCTATAAAACAAACATTTATGGAAAAATAAATAAAATTTAAAAAATCTTTTAATTCTTTTAATTCGTAAATAAAGGGAGATTAGCAAATAAAAGAAGAATAGCTTTTCTAATTCGATAGCTAAAATCTGTTTCATCAAAATATCGTATTCACTTACTACGAATCAATTTCTCATAATAATTAATTTATTTCCGAATAAAAAGACCATCATAAAAATATATAATTTACTAAAAAATCGAAAAAAATGAAAATCGCTTTCAGATGTTGATAATCTCTTCAAAAAAAACCATCATATGTTGTTGGTACTCAAAAAGATAAAAATAACATAATAATAATATTATAATATAGTAAATAATATAATAAAATTATAGCAATAAACAATAAAACCATATTAATAATAATAATAGAATAATTAGATAACAAACTGTAATAAAAGTATAGTAAGAATGAAAATAATATTAATAATATTGCAATGCCTTTCGATCCCGTAATAAGAATTCCATCATAAATATCCAATGAAAGAATCGATTTTGAATGTCCATCAAGAGTATGTGATCGAATAAGTAATCGAGAAGAAGCCTTAATATCGCGTAAACCCGTAGCAGTACGAGCAATAAAAGGTACCATACGACCAACTTTTCTATATAATCTCAATTTTACAAATTTATTCCAATCATTTTTATTTTTAAAATCTACTTGAGAGATCAAAAATGTCAAACATAATTAATATTAAAACAATTTCTGGATTTTTCGAATTTTTTTTCACTGCGGACTAATAAGCGAAAATGCAGAAAAATGGAATACTTCCGATTTCCATGTGTTGGTGTTGCTGTGGATGACGATGACGATGGTGTCGAGGCATGTCTATCATTTTCAAAAATTTGCTCAGGTTTGACAACTGAATTTGACAACTCATTTGTCAAATCATTAACGACAGAAAACTCTGTCTGCTGAATATGACTATTTGAAGTCGCAATTTCGACATCATTTGCTGGATAGAGAAGTTCACAAACGGTTGTTGTTCGATGACGCGCTTTCTTCTTTCCATATGCTAGAAAAAATAAAGAAATAAAGAAATAAAAGAATAGAAATATAATTAGTTAAAAATGTTTATTTTAAAATATTACTAAGGAATACCACTAGGCATATTTTCTTTAGATTAACGAACCACTCGCCTTCGCCTACCTTTGCTGCTTTTTATTAATTACTCTCCTTAACCGTATTCGGTGTTGTTTTGAAAATTATTAATTAAACATTCTCCCTAGTCACATTCGTTCTTACTTCGAATCTTTTCATTTATTATCATAAATACTATTTTTAATAAATTTTCATTCACTGTCGCAAGTGCATACTCTTTTTCGACACAAATTATTCGAAAAAATTCCTTTTTACCAAATAATATAATTCACAGAACAGAACTACAACAGAAATAACAGAACTACAACAGAAATAATTTTAATGAAGTTAAAAAAAAAAAATAAAAATATTTGCCCAACTCCACTGAAGTATTTGTATAATCTGGTGAAATTGAATAAATTTAATAAGGTGTATCATGCAATATCCATATTTCATATTCATATTTCAAAAGAGAAATGATCAAACCAAAATGGTACATGAAAAATAAGATTACTCGGTGAAGAAGGCGAACTTAAAAATTTTTTGCATTCATCATAATCTTGTATTTGATGAAATATTTCCAGTGGAACACTTTTACTGCGATTTAACTTTGCCGATTCGATCACCTGAAATTATTTTCTTTTGACTCTATGGAATATTATAAATTTACAAAAAAATGATAATACGATTGAGATTAGCTCTCCAAGATGGAGGGAGGATGAATGAGTGGAGGATAGTTCAGATTATTAAGTTGAAAGAATTCGCTGATAATGGTTTAAACTATCTGTTGTATTTTCGGTACCCAACAAAAGCTTTGCCCTCATAAAATCCTGGTGATAACCATTTGTGCTTCTGATTTGCTGAGGAAAACATTTACCATCACTAATAGCCAGCGAACCAGCCTAATCAGAAATGGTACACGCTAACCATTTGTTTGTTTACTTACCTCCGCAAGATCATTAACGATATCTTCATTGATCGCTTGATTTATTAACGAATTAAGATGCACAGAACTTTTTAGTTGTTCAATATATGCTTCAGATTCCTTTAAATGAAAAGAGAGAAAGAGAACTTTATTTTATTTTTGATAGAATATCTATTAATTTATCCAGTTAAACAAGCTTAATAATAGCCAGAAACCTATCGAAAATATAGCGAATGCAGTTTGTTTTTTGTTTTGTTATTGAACGAAATGAATTCTTTAAAAAATTCTTTCATAATGATAAATGTTTTAAAAAAATGGATTATTGACAATTTTTTCTCAATCGTCTAATAAGTATGTTGTAGACTTTTCCTATCAAAATTGAATTTTTTAAAATCATTTCGAAATAAAAAAAGAAAAAATGCCAGTTTTGGAGTTTAAAAAAAAATATGCGACGGACTTACTTTAAGATCAGATGTTGCTTTTGCGGCAAGAAAACTTTGTTCAAAACCAAACGCAAATAAATGACTGAGAAGATACTTGGCTTCAAGCAAATTTGTACAATTACTGATGATTGTTTCAGCAGTTTGTAAAGTTGCTGAATCCGCGGTCTCATTATCCTGAAAAAATGAGAAAAGCGATAAGGGAAATAATTCAAAAATGCTTATATTAATGCATAGCGCAACGAAGCCTCTTTTTAAAAATTTGAATCGCTGCCTATTCGGCTACTCTTTCCTCATTTACATGTTTATAAAATGAAATGAAAATATGAAAAAATGAATATTTCGAATTTTTCCTAAAATCATCGGAAAAAGTACTAAAATGAAAAAATAAATCAAGAAAAAGAATGATTAAAAATATGAGAAAGAAAACCGATTAGATAAAAGGTAATAAAAAAAGAAAAGATAAATCATTATAAGAGGAAAAATGAAAATATCTTGGGAATTTTCGTTCAATAAATCGAACATAAATCGAAAGAATTTTTCTAAAAAAAAATATTTCACCAAAATCTTCATTTAAATGTTTCCTCATAAAAATATTTCAGTTTACAATTGATTTTCACAAAAAAAATCACATAAAGCAAAAAAATCCACGATTGGATAATTTTTGAATTTTATATTTTTAATCGATGAAAAACTAACTAATTGTTCGTATCATCCTTTTTTTAACAGAAATTTTATATCGAAATCATGCATTTTATTTCTTTGCATGCAAATGACTGTTATTGTTACAAGCAAATATCTCCTTTGAAAGAACTTAACAAACACTGCTTTTTGCTGAATCATTTACTTTTACTTATTTCTCCATAATTTTATAGAAAACATTTCGTAAGCATTATGTAAATTGTTATACAACCAAAACCAAACCTTAGGGTAATTTCAATTTTATATAAATAAACTTCAAACTAAAAATATATTTCTTTGAATTTTGGATTAAAAACTAAAAGCTTTTTTTGAAATAATTTTAATTTAAACATTTCTTCGTCAATCAAAAAATTAAATACGGTTAATCAAATCAACTATTATCTGAGTTTTAATCAAAATCTAAATCGAAGCGCTCCTAAGCCTTGATTCTTCAGCTTCGTTCATTATAAGGCAGCAAGAGAAGAGCAGTTGCAACTTTCACAAGAACTACTCACAAATGCTATCGTATTTATCTTATTATATTGCTACATATTTGTTAACCTTTGCGATCATCTTTACGTTAGTTGTTATCATTTTCATCATCGAAGTAACCGTTAGAACATTATAAAATATAATGAAATAATAAAATAACAATTAAAAGAGCAAGAAAATAAAGGCGTGCCAGGAATTTTTCGCTGCAAGGCACTAAGGCGATTCTGTTGACGTACCGCTTGCTCTATTCCTGCTCCTCTCACTGTTACTTCTACTACTACCACTTTACTAATACTTTTATAATACTCATTATCATCATGCATTTTTATTATTACTTTTATTAATTTAACATCATTTAGCCATCAGTATTTTTTACTATTTCCGCTATTATTATTGTTAAATTTATTTTCTCCATATTAAATTTCTTTGCAAAATGTAAAAACGAGATGATTAAAAATGCAATTTATTTTTTTTTCAAACATTTAAATAGCAAATAAAATGAATGTAAATAGTTGGAAATGAAACAAATTTGCACGAAAGTATTGTTTTTATGAGAATTTTTTTATGAGAAACATCACTAAAAATTAATTTTATCACATGTATTATATTTAAATATATCACTAACAATGATATTATTAGTGATGATATCACTCGAAAATCTTATCTATACATTATCTTTTAACGAATTTATTCCATTTTAACTGCGATTTTACCTATCAATTTGCTTTTAAGAAATTTTAAAGTTTTAATTCAACTTTTAATCTTCAAGGAAGATTTCCCAAAAAAAAGAAAGATTTATCCATTTTGATAAATCGAAAATAATATACTTTTACAACCGTATAAAATGGAATTATTGAAAAACTGAAGTTTGAATTTTTAAACCAAATTGAATTTTTAAGTTTAAATTTATTTTTATTGCGAAATTTGTTATGTTAAATTTATTACTTTATTATACGATATATTTCAAGTATATTTATTCAAATATATATATATATATATATTTGTCCAATATATTTATTCAGTTGGATAAAGTAAAAAGCTAAAAATAAATAAATTTTTTTCGATAATCTTCCCGCATAGGCCAAGTGACTGTTTAGATTATCATCTTAAGCATTACGCTTCGGCATCGATCATTTCGCATGAGCAATTAAAAATCAAAAATGCGCGTGCTGCTTGGCACATTATCACCCCCCCCCCCCCACCCCCAAATGGACCCATTCTAATAAACAGTGCAACAGTATATATTTACAGTGAAAACGATGTGATTAATTGAATCAACTTTTCCATTAGAATTCCAAAACAAAATTTCCAACTTTTCGGAAATGCAAAAAATCATTAAAAAAAATAATTATAAGAAGGACCGCTGGTTGAAATGTTTCATTTTCAATTTTAATTAAAATCATCCAGTTTGTTTATTAATAAAGTTTCAGTAGAGATTAAATTTATAATAAAAATATAAATAATACATAAATAATTTGTAATAATAAAAATTTAAAATTTAAAAAATTATTAGTCAAAAAAATTTTCAAACTTTTCTTTCTTATTTTATATGGAAGCACGATAGTCAAGTGGTTAGTAGGCTACATTATTGAGTGGTGCTGACGACGTAGATATTCCTTATTTCTGTCGCCAAATGACTCGCTCAGAATTTCTAACCACACAGCAGGAATAAACCTAACCGAAAATGTGAACTTGGTGAACATGATGATCAATTTTTTAGAAATTTTTTATTTTTGTTCATTTCTTTAACTGATTTTCTTAATTGCGAATTCTCTTTTCTTTTTTCACCATATTTTATTTCGTACTACACTGTTTTTACTTTTTATCAGATATCTCCTTAACACTTGTATCAGTTCTAAAAGAGACGTAAATAAATTCCGACCCACCTACTATCACATATCATTTCCCTATCATCTATATTTCAGATTTTAGCATTTTCCCATATTATTATAGATGCCTTTCATATGCCAGTA